ATGGTCTTGATCTCCTGACCTCGTGATCTGCCCGCCTCAGCCTCCCAAAGTGCTGGGATTACAGGCGTGAGCCACCGCGCCCGGCCCTTTTTTTTTTTTTGGGGAGATTCTCACACTGTCACCTAGGCTGGAGTGCAGTGGCGCAATCTCAGCTCACTGCAACCTCCGCCTCCCGGGTTCAAGCAGTTCTCCTGCCTCAGCCTCCCGAGTAGCTGGGATTACAGGCGCGCACCACCGTGCCTGACTGATTTTTGTGTTTTTAGTAAAGGCAGGGTTTTGCCATGTTGGCCGCGCTGGTCTCAAATTCCTGACCTCAAGTGATCCTCCCGCCTCCACCTCCCAAAGTGCTGGGATTACAGGCATGAGCCACTCCACCGGCCCAATATCCTGATTTTTTTTTTTTCTTTTGAAACAGAGTCTTTGCTCTGTCACCCAGGCTGGAGTGCAGTGGAATGATCTCGGCTCACTGCAACCTCTGCCTCTCAGGTTCAAACAATTATGCCTCAGCCTCCTGAGTAGCTGGGACTACAGGCGCCTGCCACCACGCCCAGCTAATTTTTGTATTTTTAGTAGAGACCAAGTTTCACCATATTGGCCAGGCTGACCTTGAACTCCTGACCTCATGATCTGCCCACCTTGGCCTTCCAAAGTGCTGGGATTACAGGCATGAGCTACCATGCTTGGCCCAGTATCTTGATTTTTAGCATGCAGACATTTTGTCTGATTTTGAACTTTATTTATTTTATTTTTTATTTTTATTTATTTATTTTTTTAAGATGGAGTTTCACTCTTGTTGCCCATGCTGGAGTGCACTGGCACGATCTTGGCCCACCGCAACCTCCGCCTCCTGGGTTCAAGTGATTCTCCTGCCTTAGCCTCCTGAGTAGCTAGGATCACAGGCATGTGCCACTACACTGGCTAATTTTTTTTTTTTTTTTTTTTGAGACAAAGTCTCGCTCTGTTGCCCAGGCTGGAGTACAGTGGTACGGTCTGGGCTTACTGCAACCTCAGCCTCCCAGGTTCAAGCGATTCTTCTGCCTCAGTCTCCTGAGTAGCTGGGACTACAGGTGCGTGCCGTCACACCTGGCTAGTTTTTTGCATTTTTAGTAGAGACAGGGTTTCTTCGTATTAGCCAGGATGGTCTCGATCTCCCAACCTCATGATCTACCTGCCTTGAACTCCCAAAGTGCTGGGATTATAGGTGTGAGCCACCCTTTCCCGGCCTAATTTTGTATTTTTAGTAGAGACGGGGTTTCTCCATGTTGGTCAGGCTAGTCTTGAACTTCTGACCTCAGGTGAACCACTGGCCTCCCAAAGTGCTGTGATTACAGGCCTGCACTACCGTGCCCGGCCTTGATTTTGAGCTTTAAATAAGTGGAATGATATGATACATATTCTTTTTTCCTGGCTTCTCTCTCTTCATATTATGTTGGTGAGATCACCTCTGTTGATGATGAGAGGTAGGGATCGAGTTTCTTTTTTTCTTTTTTCATATGGATATCTAATTGACCCAGCACTTTTTATTGAAATAATTATTTCCCAACCCTGACATATTTTTTAAATACTGTTTTATTTTCTGATTATAAAATCAAGACACATGTCAAGCATGGTGATATGTATTTGTAGTCCCAGCTACTTGGGAGGCTGAGGCAGGAGGATCACTTGAGCTCAGGAGTTTTAGAACAGCCTGGGTAACATAGTGAGACTCCCATCTCTAAAAAATTTTTTTTTAAAATTAAGACACATTAAAAAGCCTTGACAATCCTGAGCATTGGTAAAGTTGTGGAGGGTGGAGCCATCCTGGGGAGCCATTTGGAAGTACCTAATAAATATGAATATATGTACACCTGTGAACAAGCCATTCTGCCCCTTGGTCTACAGCATAGAGCAGCTTTTCTCCAGGTGTTGTCTGGGGAATCCCTGGGGGGCAACGTGAGACTTTCAGTGGGTCTGTGAGGTAAGGTATATTTTTTTCTCTCCAAATAGCTTATAAGTGGAGTTCTGGAGACTATGTGGTATCTGATATCTTTGGGGAACAGCTTCAACACAACATCCTGGTGACCTTGCACATGTCCACATAGGCCATGCAGGCAAGTTTTGAACCACAGTTTTTGTTTGTTTTTTCCTTTTGAGATGGAGTTTTGCTCTATTGCCCAGGTTGGAGTGCTGTGGCGTGGTCTCGGCTCACTGCAACCTCCGCCTCCTAGGTTCAAGTGATTCTCCTGCCTCAGCCTCCCAAGTAGCTGGGATTACAGGCACCTGCCACCACGCCCAGCTGATTTTTCTTTAGTACAGACGGGGTTTCACTATGTAAGCCAGGCTGGTCTTGAACCCTGACCTCAGGTGATCCACCCACCTCAGCCTCTCAAAGAGC